TTTTTCTTTGTGCCACTGATGATTACTTAAGCCGTATAGAATACTGCTACACCAGTTTTTCTTTGTGCCACTGATGATTACTTAAGCCGTATAGAATACTGCTACACCAGTTTTTCTTTGTGCCATTCATGATTACTTAAGCCGTATAGAATACTGCTACACCAGTTTTTCTTTGTGCCACTGATGATTACTTAAGCCGTATATAATACTGCTACACCAGTATTCTTTTTGTGCCACTGATGATTACTTAAGCCGTATGCTACACCAGTTTTTCAGTATTCATATACGGCTTAAGTAATCATCAGTGGCACAAAGAAAAACTGGTGTAGCAGTATTCTATACGGCTTAAGTAATCATGAATGGATTTGGACGAAAGTTACCTAACTTAGAAGTGGTTAGTTTCAGGAGGGTCAAGGTCACAAATCCCAAAACTCCCTATCTATTAACATGGGGATCGATTTTCCACACTATTTTTGCTCTATAACTCAGTTAAAAATGATTGGATTTTGATGAAACTTGGTGGGCATATGTAGAATGTTATTCCTCATTGTCCTACCAAACGTTGATAACGACGGACATACGGACACATTTTCTTATTTTTTAAAGCCGAATATGATCAACGCTGCGTGGTGGTGGTGGTGGTGGGGGGGGCCCTACCGAATACCCTTCTAGTCTTGTTTGTTTGTTTTGTTCTTCTATTCCTCCCGTGGCGACGAAGTAGCTAAAGTAACTCTCAAATTATAGGTTCATTTTATTTTTCACACTAGAGCTTATCGTATTTTTTCTGCCTTTTAGTACGAGTTGATATTTCCAGTGTAGCTAACTGTATCTATTTAATACATATTTGGGAAGAGACCATGTTGTTGAAAGGGATTTTTACAACTTCTGTACCTTTACAAATAAAAACGTACACACTCATCTGTGTGGACATTCCTTTTTACACTAGCGTTTGCTATGTTTTAGTTTATAATAAGTACCGGAACGGTGAAGACTGAATAAGATTTGAGACTGTTTGTTTGTTTTTAGCGCAAAACAACAAAATGGGCTTTCCCATCGTGGATCAGCGATAAATTTAAGGACTTAAAATGCTAATATCTGGGGTTCGATACCTGCGGTGGACCCAGCACATAGCCAAACAAACATAAACAAGATGGACTACCTGCGCTCTGTCCGCACGGAATCGAATCACGGATTTTAGTGTGATGAGTCCGTGAATGGCGTTGGCCCACCGAAGTACCCAACCATGAGACACACTCGACAATAAAAAATATATTTAACAGTATTTCTCTCTACCAATATTCGCCTGTTCTGTGTTGAATGCTGTAAAATACGACATAATCAAGCACGCCATTTGGGCGGTGTTTAGTGAACTGTAAAAATATGGGGAAATTTTTTTTTTGTTATAATAAAACGAAGATTCACAGTTATTTAATACGCCATCCTAAGGGCTAAAACTGAGCAGTATACAAGTTATCAATTATCAGTCCAGACATGAAAGTTTACAGATACTAGATATGTTTTTATAAACCTTAAGTTTAACTGGTAATACAACACATTTTTATTTTTTGAATTAAATGGAAAATGTTATCTATAATTGTTTGAATGGGAACTATATAAACAAGTTACCAATAAATCATGTATATTTTAAGTTCCCTAACTAGCTGTGTGTTTTTTTTTTTGTTTCTTCGCATAAAATATGTATGGAAGACAAATTTAAAGTTTGTTTTAAAATAGCAATGACATTCCAAGAAGAATCGGTGTTTAAGAATAAACTTGTTCTAGGACACAATATCCTGTTTTTTCCGAGAATTTATTAGCATAACCGCCCTAAAACTAAAGTAACCTGTACAGAACAAAAGAAGTACTGATGCGCATGCTCCATTTACACCTTGCAACATTTCACCTATCGTACGAAACATATTATTTGATCATTTAGTTAGGCTTACACAGCATGAGATTTGCCTTCTTTAGGAACTAACGACGGCGTCACCTTCACGTTGACTGTAACACTAAAGTAGAATGTTTTAAATTTCGTAATAACGAGCAATGGCGCCACCTTCACGCTGACTGTAACACTACAGTACAATGTGGTCAACATCAATAAACACATATAAGCCTACAACTGAAACTTTCATACGCTTTTGGTTGTTGTTTGAAAGTAAACAAGATTGTTTAAATATTCTATTTCTCTGTGATCATGTGGAATGATCAAGGCCGAACTTAAGTTAAAGTCTAATTAGCCTGATATGCTCAACTTAACCAACTACACTCGATGACGACATCAATGAAAAATGTGCGCTTTTATAGAATAGTAAAAAAACCAAGGGATTAAAACTGACCAATCAATTACTCTGTGGGATTATGGAAACTCTTCGTACACATAATTCTTGCAAACGCATGTAACTTTATGTTATTAATACACGTGACAAAACTTCTAAATTGATAAAGTGATTTGCATCATTGGGATTACGGACGAAAATATCGTTAAAAGAGGGGATACTCGACTGATAATTCAATGCATCTTAATGAATACAAGTTTGTGTTTTTTCTTTTCTTTATTTGGTGAATTGAATTACAGAAGTATATCATAGACGATCGGTTTCATTAAAGTATAATTACTCTAATGTTCTGATGTAGGCCCGGCACGGCCTGGTGGTTAGGGCGCTCGACTCGTAATCTGAGGGTCGCGGGTTCGAAACCCCGTCACACCAAACATGCCAGTGCCTAGCAACTCCACCCCGTAAAAACCAACCTGCTACAAGTAACTGCAACCGTTGGTGAGGTGTTGTTGCGGCCCTATGCTCCACTGGGAGTTTACAGGAAGGAATAAAAAAAAAGTTCTTCATAATTACAGTTCAATAATCTCTCTCTCTACACACACACATCTAATATATATGTATATATATATATATATATATAT